AGTGAGCCCTTCCAGTGCTTGAATGTAAGTGCCTAGCTTCTTGGGTTTTAATGGGCATGTTAATGTGACTCTTAAAGGAAAAGTGATGGTGGCCAAAGTAAAATCTAGCGTAGTCTTATCATAGCTGGACTTTGCTGCCCCACATTAGCTGTCAGTGTGTCAGTTCAGTATATTTGTTCATGGACTGCGACTGTCTGCTGGGTGTTTCATTGATGTTTGGTTCTATACTGCAATTCCGTAATTGACAGAATTCGATTGATCTTTGCTGGATCTCCACTCAGCAGATGAGTTGACTCACTGGGGTTGAAATCTGACGTGAAGAGAACCCACATGACCTTCCAGTTTAGGGGGCATTGTTGTTCCCCACAGGAGGATCACTTTACTACAACATAGGCCTACTTTTGTATTTTGGCAAATCCTTTCCATGTTGCGTTTTATATTTTTGTTCAATATACACTGCTCAAAAAAATAAAGGGAACACTAAAATAACACATCCTAGATCTGAATGAATGAAATAATCTTATTAAATACTTTTTTCTATACATAGTTGAATGTGCTGACAACAAAATCACACACAAATTATCAATGGAAATCAAATGTATCAACCCATGGAGGTCTGGATTTGGAGTCACCCTCAAAATTAAAGTGGAAAACCACACTACAGGCTGATCCAACTTTGATGTAATGTCCTTAAAACAAGTCAAAATGAGGCTCAGTAGTGTGTGTGGCCTCCACGTGCCTGTATGACCTCCCTACAATGCCTGGGCATGCTCCTGATGAGGTGGCGGATGGTCTCCTGAGGGATCTCCTCCCAGACCTGGACTAAAGCATCCGCCAACTCCTGGACAGTCTGTGGTGCAACGTGGCGTTGGTGGATGGAGCGAGACATGATGTCCCAGATGTGCTCAATTGGATTCAGGTCTGGGGAACGGGCGGGCCAGTCTATAGCATCAATGCCTTCCTCTTGCAGGAACTGCTGACACACTCCAGCCACATGAGGTCTAGCATTGTCTTGCATTAGGACGAACCCAGGGCCAACCGCACCAGCATATGGTCTCAGAAGGGGTCTGAGGATCTAATCTCGGTACCTAATGGCAGTCAGGCTACCTCTGGCGAGCACATGGAGGGCTGTGCGGCCCCCCAAAGAAATGCCACCCCACACCATGACTGACCCACCGCCAAACCGGTCATGCTGGAGGATGTTGCAGGCAGCAGAACGTTCTCCACGGCATCTCCAGACTCTGTCACGTCTGTCACATGTGCTCAGTGTGAACCTGCTTTCATCTGTGAAGAGCACAGGGCGCCAGTGGCGAATTTGCCAATCTTGGTGTTCTCTGGCAAATGCCAAACGTCCTGCACGGTGTTGGGCTGTAAGCACAAACCCCACCTGTGGACGTCGGGCCCTCATACCACCCTCATGGAGTCTGTTTCTGACCGTTTGAGCAGACACAGTCATTTTGCAGGGCTCTGGCAGTGCTCCTCCTGCTCCTCCTTGCACAAAGGCGGAGGTAGCAGTCCTGCTGCTGGGATTTTGCCCTCATACGGCCTCCTCCACGTCTCCTGATGTACTGGCCTGTCTCCTGGTAGCGCCTCCATGCTCTGGACACTACGCTGACAGACACACAAACCTTCTTGCCACAGCTCGCATTGATGTGCCATCCTGGATGAGCTGCACTACCTGAGCCACTTGTGTGGGTTGTAGACTCTGTCTCATGCTACCACTAGAGTGAAAGCACCACCAGCATTCAAAAGGGGGCGGCAGGTAGCTTAGTGGGTAAGAGCGTTGTGCCAGTAACCGAAAGGTCGCTAGTTCTAATCCTCGAGCCGACTAGGTGAAAAATTTGTCGATGTGCCCTTAAGTAAGGCACTTAACCCTAATTGCTCCTGTAAGTCGCTCTGGATAAGAGCGTCTGCTAAAATGTAAATGTAAAATGTAAATGTACTGGCCTGTCTCCTGGTAGCGCCTCCATGCTCTGGACACTACGCTGACAGACACAGCAAACCTTCTTGCCACAGCTCGCATTGATGTGCCATCCTGGATGAGCTGCACTACCTGAGCCACTTGTGTGGGTTGTAGACTCCGTCTCATGCTACCACTAGAGTGAAAGCACCGCCAGCATTCAAAAGTGACCAAAACATCAGCCAGGAAGCATAGGAACTGAGAAGTGGTCTGTGGTCACCACCTGCAAAACCAGTCCTTTATTGGGGGTGTCTTGCTAATTGCCTATAATTTCCACATGTTGTCTATTCCATTTGCACAACAGCATGTGACATTTATTGTCAATCAGTGTTGCTTCCTAAGTGGACAGTTTGATTTCACAGAAGTGTGATTGACTTGGAGTTACATTGTGTTATTTAAGTGTTCTCTTTATTTTTTTGAGCAAACACACAAACATTCATGGACATTTAGCTCGCTTGCTATTGCTAGCTAGTTTGACCTGGGAGATCAATATTGTGTTGTTATTTTACCTGAAATGCATATGGTCCTTTTTTTTGCTGGATCTGTGTAGAATTTCTACCCATAGTCTTGGCATCTAGCATCAAGCTGGGCATCTAGCAATCCCGTTCTGAGCCAATGCATTCTAACAGTCTAATACAGGACTGCCAAACCCTGTTCCTGGAGAGCTACCGTCCTGTAGGTTTTTGCTCCAACCCTAATCTAGCACACCCGATTCTAATAATTAGCAGGTTGATAATATTAATCTACAACTTATCCAGAACGCTGCAGCCCGTCTGGTGTTCAACCTTCCCAAGTTCTCTCATGTCACCCCGCTCCTCCGCACACTCCACTGGCTTCCAGTTGAGGCACGCATCTACTACAAGACCATGGTGCTTGCCTACGGAGCTGTGAGGGGAACGGCACCTCCTTACCTTCAGGCTCTGATCAGACCCTACACCCAAACGAGGGCACTACGTTCATCCATCTCTGGCCTGCTAGCTCCCCTACCTCTACGGAAGCACAGTACCCGCTCAGCCCAGTCAAAGCTATTCGCTGCTCTGGCACCCCAATGGTGGAACAAGCTCCCCCATGACGCCAGGACAGCTGAGTCACTGACCACCTTCCGGAGACACTTGAAACCCTACCTCTTTAAGGAATATTTGTAAGTCGCTCTGGATAAGAGCGTCTGCTAAATGACGTAAATGTAAATGAATACCTAGAATAGTATAAAGTAATCCTTCTTCCCCCACCCCCCATACATAAAAAAAAAAAAAAAAGGTGGTTGTCCCACTGGCTATCATAAGTTTGAATGCACCAATTTGTAAGTCGCTCTGGATAAGAGCGTCTGCTAAATGATGTAAATGTAAATGAATCAGGTTAGTAACACCTGGGGTTGAAGCGAAAACCTACAGGAGGGTAGCTCTCCAGGAACAGGCTTGGGCAACCCTGGTCTAATAAATACTTTTTTGCAATAGCATATATAAAAATGTATCATTTGGTTGTGTTTATGAAGGTTTTAGGTAGGTCTACCATTAGAATACGCAAGAAAAAATGATATTAGTTTGTTACTGTAGGCTATATGTAAAAACCAAAAACCACAACATCACAATTCAAGTGTTATACACTATCACAAAGAAATGCATTATTAACAGAATATCATATTTTAAGTTTTATTATGTTACTAGTCTGTGCTTAGTAGCCTATGGCTATGCTTCCGGAAGTGCTCACATGTAGAATGTATTGAATAGCGGCTGTAATGTTCTACAAAAATGTGATACTTTGCCGTATTTTTAAGTTATTTGGCAAATGTATGTTTTAGAAACCTTAGAACCTGTTCTTTCCTATATATTATGAAATCAAAACGTCTTACTTGGCTGAAGGATAATTTGGAAAACGTAGCTTTTTGGTCATTTACCAACGCTGCGCTGCAGTCTCTTCACAAGGCAATTGATAATATTGTCACCCATCAGACTATTGCCAATTTAATCTGGTATTTAGGCTACATCTATTATTATAGGCCTATGTGTGAAATTAGTTTTGGTATAGTTTAGGTGTAGTTTTGATGGGCCATTGTCAGATGGCAGCCAACTTGTGAAGGAAGAGCAGGGGGAAATGACATGTCCTCCTAAAAACTCTGATATTGAAATTCTAACAACAGTGTGTTGAATAGACTTATTTAGGAAGAGTCAAGGACTGGTGGGCATGACTTTGAGAATGGCAGAGTAATTGACCTCAAAATGATGCTCTCTGACTTTTTAGTTACCGTAGTTATCTATTATTAATCTCTCTTCGTTCATCTTTCAAATACCCACGTGGGGTTGTATGCTCCTGAAAACCAATGAGTAAATGGGAGAAGCGGGACTTGCAGCGCGTCAGGTGTCTCAACTAGAACCAAGTTCTGTTTTAGTGCTTGGCTACGCAGATGCTCGGGCACGCCCGTGAGCGGTGGCGCTGAAATTATTATATAACATGTATGTGTGTGTACATTTATTTTGCAACGCTTGCAAACGCAACGTGTCCGGTGAGTTTTGCATGTTAGCCTCTGTCTGGTACATTTTATATGATTATTTGTTTCATCCATTGAAACTAAAATTAGCTTCTAGTTTAGTTTCCATTTATTTTCTAATGTGTAGTTAGCCTCTGTCTGGTACATTTCTATTTTGATTTGATTCCTCCATTGCTTTGTGTATCATCTTGTAGTAGTTTACCGCAGTATGGAACATTGGCAGTATGTAAATTGAGTTTGTGGTTTGTGTCAGATTAGTTTGAGAAACAGAACAGCTAAGATGACACTTCAGTGCAATTGTGGTGCTAATGGTGGTTCTCATTGGAAGAACATACACCTACACGCATTCTACTGAGTCTTGTTTCAACCCTCTCTCATAGCTGCTGTTTGTGTGAAGAAAACTATCAGCAAGTGATAGAAACTCACTTATCGACCACTGTTGTCAGTAGATCTGAGAGGCTCCTGTGAAAGGCAATCAGGCTAGCTGTGTTACCTCTCTCTCCCACCACTCCTCTTCTCACCCGTCTCCCCCTCGCCTCCCTTTCTCCCCCAGTCATCCTGACAGATGAGGAGGTGCAGAGGAAGAAGGATCTTATCCAGAAGAGGAAGGAGGAGGAGGCAGCGCGGGAGGCCCTGAGACCAAGACTGAATGACGAGCAGAGCCAGGTTATCGCCTCACTGGTGGAGGCCCACCACAAGACTTACGACGACTCCTACTCAGACTTCTCATGCTTCAGGGTCTGTACTGATCAAACTAGCTTAGCCACTCACATTCTCACTTTTTTTGCTATATATACAGTGGGGGAAAAAAGTATTTAGTCAGCCACCAATTGTGCAAGTTCTCCCACTTAAAAAGATGAGAGAGGCCTGTAATTTTCATCATAGGTACACGTCAACTATGACAGACAAATTGAGGGAAAAAAATCCAGAAAATCACATTGTTGGATTTTTAATGAATTTATTTGCAAATTATGGTGGAAAATAAGTTTTTGGTCACCTACAAACAAGCAAGATTTCTGGCTCTCACAGACCTGTAACTTCTTCTTTAAGAGGCTCCTCTGTCCTCCACTCGTTACCTGTATTAATGGCACCTGTTTGAACTTGTTATCAGTATAAAAGACACCTGTCCACAACCTCAAACAGTCACACTCCAAACTCCACTATGGCCAAGACCAAAGAGCTGTCAAAGGACACCAGAAACAAAATTGTAGACCTGCACCAGGCTGGGAAGACTGCATCTGCAATAGGTAAGCAGCTTGGTTTGAAGAAATCAACTGTGGGAGCAATTATTAGGAAATGGAAGACATACAAGACCACTGATAATCTCCCTCAATCTGGGGCTCCACGCAAGATCTCACCCCGTGGGGTCAAAATGATCACAAGAACGGTGAGCAAAAATCCCAGAACCACACAGGGGGACCTAGTGAATGACCCGCAGAGAGCTGGGACCAAAGTAACAAAGCCTACCATCAGTAACACACTACGCCGCCAGGGACTCAAATCCTGCAGTGCCAGACGTGACCCCCTGCTTAAGCCAGTACATGTCCAGGCCCGTCTGAAGTTTGCTAGAGTGCATTTGGATGATCCAGAAGAGGATTGGGAGAATGTCATATGGTCAGATGAAACCAAAATATAACTTTTTGGTAAAAACTCAATTCGTCGTGTTTGGAGGACAAAGAATGCTGAGTTGCATCCAAAGAACACCATACCTACTGTGAAGCATGGGGGTGGAAACATCATGCTTTGGGGCTGTTTTTCTGCAAAGGGACCAGGACGACTGATCCGTGTAAAGGAAAGAATGAATGGGGCCATGTATCGTGAGATTTTGAGTGAAAACCTCCTTCCATCAGCAAGGGCATTGAAGATGAAACGTGGCTGGGTCTTTCAGCATGACAATGATCCCAAACACACCGCCCGGGCAACGAAGGAGTGACTTCGTAAGAAGCATTTCAAGGTCCTGGAGTGGCCTAGCCAGTCTCCAGATCTCAACCCCATAGAAAATCTTTGGAGGGAGTTGAAAGTCCGTGTTGCCCAGCGACAGCCCCAAAACATCACTGCTCTAGAGGAGATCTGCATGGAGGAATGGGCCAAAATACCAGCAACAGTGTGTGGAAAACCTTATGAAGACTTACAGAAAACGTTTGACCTGTGTCATTGCCAACAAAGGGTATATAACAAAGTATTGAGAAACTTTTGTTATTGACCAAATACTTATTTTCCACCATAAATTCATTAAAAATCCTACAATGTGATTTTTTTTTCTCATTTTGTCTGTCATAGTTGACGTGTACCTATGATGAAAATTACAGGCCTATCTCATCTTTTTAAGTGGGAGAACTTGCACAATTGGTGGCTGACTAAATACTTTTTTCCCCCACTGTGTTTTATTGGGATATGAAATCACAGATGTTGCATTACATTCATTTAATGTTTTACCATTTTCACTTCAAGTGATTATGGGTCTGTTGTTTTGTCAGTCACTCCTATGTGCACTTTACAAGGCAGACGCACTGTGTTCTTGTTATATGTTAAATGCATGTGTTGTGTGTTTGTAGCCCCCGGTGCGAGAGGGCCCAGTAACACGCAGTGCCAGTCGTGCAGCCTCCCTTCACTCGCTGTCAGATGCCTCCTCAGACTCCTTCAACCACTCACCAGGTGAAGGTGCTTACACATGCTTACGCGCAGGCACACAGTATACATGCACCACAATCAAATGTTCCATCAACAAGATGTGTAAGACTACCCTAGTCGGCATTGACAAGTCTCTCAAGGGTCTCCTTTACTTTGCTGGGGTAGAACTGAAGGCCATAACTTAGTTATGGAAGAATTTACAATCACACACCACTGAGGTTTATTATGCAGCTGCTGTGTACCATACATTTGCTGGCCTTTTATAACATGCCTGCCTGGCTGTCTTTTGAACACGCGTGTCCCTGCCTTGCACCTACATTACAAAATTGCGTAATGTGCTGCAGCTTTCTTTACATGCTCTAGGAACCTCAATCACTCAGGGCCCGGTTTCCCAAAAACATAATAAGTTGCATGGACTCACTCTGTGTGCAATAATCTTGTTTTTATAACTACCTCATCTCTGTACCCCACACAAACAATTAACTGTAAGGTCCCCCACTCAAGCAATGAATTTCAAACACAGATTCAACCACAAAGACCAGGGAAAGAAGGGCACCTATTGGTATATGGGTAAAATAAAAAAGCAGACATTGAATATCCCTTTGAGCATGGTGAAGTTATTAATTACACTTTGGGTGGTGTATCAATACACCCAGTCACTACAAAGATACAGGCGTCCTTCCTTACTCAGTTGCCGCAGTGGAAGGAAACCACTCAGGGATTTCACCATGAGGCCAATGGTGACTTTAAAACAGTTACAGAGTTTAATGGCTGTGATAGGAGAAAAAAGAGGATGGATAGTTACTCCACAATACTAACCTAAATTACAGAGTGAAAAGAAGGAAGCCTGTACAGAATACAAATATTCCAAAACATGCATTCTGTTTGCAATAAGGCACTAAAGTAAAACTGCAGAAAATGTGGCAAAGAAATTAACTTTATGTCCTGTATACAAAGCGTTATGTTTGGAGCAAATCCAACACAACACAACACAACACAACACATCACTGAGTACCACTCTTCATATTGTCAAGCATAGTGGTGGCTGCATCATGTTATGGGTATTCTTGTAATCGGCAAGGACTAAGGAGCAAGGACAATAACCTAAAACACAAGGCCAAATCTACACTGGAGTTGCTTACCAAGATGATGTTGAAAGTTCCTGAGTGGCCTAGTTACAGTTTTGACTTAAATCGGCTTGAAAATATATGCCTAGACTTGAAAATGGCTGTCTAGCAATGATCAACAACCAATTGGACAGAGCTTGAAGAATTGTAAAAATAATAATGTGCAAATATTGTACAATCCAGGTGTGCAAAGCTCCTAGAGACTTACCCAGAAACACTCACAGCTGTAATCGCTGCCAAAGGTGATTGTACCATGTATTGACTCAGGGGTGTGAAGACTTATGTAAATTCGATTTCTGTATATAATTTTCAATACATTTGGTAAAATTTCTAAAAATGTATTTAGCAGATGTTATTGCGGGTGTAGCGAAATGCTTGTGCTTCTAGCTTGTAATATCTAACAAGTAATTATGGGGTATTGTGTGTAGATGGCGGAGAAAAAAATAAATGTAATCAATTTTGAATTCAGGCTGTAACACAACAAAATGTGGATAAGTCTAGGGGTATGAATACTGTAAATGCAGTAGGCTATAGACCTATTTAAATCATATTGAAATACATTTAATGTTCAATAAATTGAGTTCTATTTTGCTACTTGTAGGCTACTGTCTGTAAATTGTCTCAATATATTTCATAATGTATAGCCTTTAATGTGCGGTAAGCATTAGAATTGTATTGGATAAGCATTAGAGTAAGCCGCCTCAATATTTTTAGCCGTAGGTGGTAATATCTCTCTAGGAGCTGATCAGTTGTAGGGATTGTGAAATAATACTAATGTTAAGGTAAGATTTGAATTGAGAAAGATGATCGGAGAGAAGCACTGCCTTTCTTTCGATCCTATCAGTATCGACACATGCTCCAACTACGCACTTTTAGTGTCTGTTCTCTTTGCATGTTACATCTTCGGCTGTTGTAGGAAAGATGCATCGTTAAAGCACTCATAAGCCTAAGTTCCATCGCTTCTGGGAAACCGGGCCCTGGAGGAGTGGACTGGCCTTTTGTACTATTTCATTGTAAACCTTTTGCTTCATTTAGCAACCATTTATTGCCACTGACATCTCTCACTCATTCACATTCCCCATGAACTCCTAATTTCTCCTTTCTCTTTATTATTGAACGCCACTCTCTCTCCCATATTTAATCCCTTCCTCTCTTTCGACCATCTCCATTAAACACCTTTATTATCTCTCCCTGTGTAGAGTCAGTGGATACCAAGCTGATGAAATTCAGCAGTCTGTTGATGATGTACCAGGACAGTGCAGGCAGTCCAGACTCTAGTGAGGACGACGGCTCCAAGCTCTCCATGCTGCCCCACCTGGCTGACCTGGTCAGCTACAGCATCCAAAAGGTCATCGGCTTCGCAAAGATGATCCCTGGCTTCAGGTGGGACTCTAGCATATCATGTGCCTTCTGGTCTTGGGTCAGTTCTGCATTTTGCCCACTAATGGTTAAGGTTAGGATTGGGGAAGGGGAAGCTGATCCTAGAGCTGTATGTAGTAGAAACTTCACCCTGGAGCCCTTCTATAGTAAATTAAAGGGATTGTGTAGGACCTACACAAATGATTGCTCCACCATATACTGTATCTTTACACAACAACATTTAGATCCGAGAGTGGATCTTTGTCAGGCTCCTACTATCCATTAAGTCTGTAGTAGTTATTTCTGTGGGTGGACGACTTCATTAATTGCATAGCTACATGCTTTGGTACAGTGTGTTATTGTATGTGTGTAAGGCATTTCATAAACACTTAGGACCTCCGGCGGGTACGGCTCAGTGCTATTCCTGGAATACGCTGGAACAGAGTGAGTGCAACACATGACGTGTTCAATTAAGGTTCCCGATCCATCCCCTCCCCAGATGTATGCAGTCAGTGAACATGTTGTACAGAACATGCCATGATTGTTGACACTTTTTGAACTATAATAATTTTACATTTACATAAGCCCCATATACTTTAAAGGCAAAATTTGGATTTGCCACTGCTCTTGGTCCGTTTAAGCGACAAACACCCTCCCAACGTTGACATAGTCCTCTTTAAAGTAACAGATCTCAGTCCTCTTTAAAGTAACAGATCTCAGTCCTCTTTAAAGTAACAGATCTCAGTCCTCTTTAAAGTAACAGATCTCAGTCCTCTTTAAAGTAACAGATCTCAGTCCTCTTTAAATTGAACTATGGGAGAGAAAGAAAAGCCAAATAACTCAGTTCTTTGTATTCACACTGCCCTGCTTTTGAATGAGGACTCAACCTTTTTGCCACTTCTTTTCTCCTATTTCGTAGTCCGAGTCCTCTTTGCGTTCACATTGCTGTGTTTAGAAAGGAACCAAGATCTTTTTCCAAAATTCTGTCAATGCACTCTGGGTTTTTACAAAGTGCAGGACAAGCCATTTAATCAGAACGTGTTATCGGACAGCTACATATACCTACTTGCATTTTGGAAGCTAATAGATTTCATTTAGTAAAAGTTGAGACATAATAGTTGTAATCGGAAGATATTATTATCATGTAAATATTATTCTTAACAGAATACATAGCAGAATAATAACTGCAGATTAAATAATGCTGTAAATGAAAATTGTAAACCCAATGGAGGCTACTGCCCCTTTAAGAGCTAGAATAGATTTTGTATCCTATGTTGTGATTCTCACCAAGTATGTTATTGTCTTCAAACACTATTCAAACCCCACAATCAAATAAACAGCTTATGATGCACTCTTAGCCTATAGATCACATATTGCAAACAAATAATCTGAACTAAAAAGTCTACACATATTTTGGAATTTCTGTGCATCCTTGACAATCGCTAATCAATATCCAAAAACAGCACACATTTTTTTCTGGGAATCTGCACATCGTCTTCTCTCTTTTGTGGCACTGATGTGAGGGGTTATGGCAGGAGAAAACAGTGTTTCAGTAGTTTGGTGTGGGAATAATATCAATCGAACCTGGGGAGCTTTGTGTTCACATTGCCCTAACAAAGGGAACCGGACCCCGGAATTCAAGTAAACTGAACTCCGACCACCTCTCAAGGTTTTGAGGGGTCAGAGTTCCTTTGGAGTGTTCACAGTGCACAAAAAATTAAGTGAACCACACAGTTCACAATACATTTCTGAAAGGGACCAAGTGTAAAAACACCTTTAACACAGCTTTTTGCTACCATTCATACTTTATCAACTATAAAGCTTGTTCTATCCCCATTCATTTCAATGGCGAAATGCAGGCTTCAGCATTCTAAAGTGAAATCACTGCCACAGAATGTTCAAACTAAAACATTTTGAGAGCTTAAAAACACATATGGCTTATGACGCTAATAGTATTCACTCATGCTTACTAAACTAGCCCACTATAATAACTCCACACCTACAAGCCACCCCAAAATAGCTCACTCTAACCAGAAGGAAGAGGCAAAGTGAGAACCTGTCCGCGTGAAAATACAGTGTTAACCAGTGGAAGTGGGGATATTTTTGTATGGGGTTCAATGGTCAACATTAAATCGAATTGCTCATTTGCTACGTGAGGCTTATTTGATCGAATATAATTTTCTCAATGTTTAGGTTTTTACAGATGTTGTGATAAGTGGACGAATGTACGCACGTGACATTCCAGTAACTTTGAGACAAATGACTTTATATCGGAGTTGTGCCTGTTGTTCACGCGTGTATTTGCCCTCTCATTGGCTAGAATGTTCCCGACTGATCCCACCTTCTCCCGCCTGCCCTTCCGCCTTTGCAGACATGTATTCCCATTGTTAGAGCGGTCAGTCCAGTATCTTGTTAGTATATCATTTAGATCATCTTTGCCAATACTAGCCCATAGGCCTATGAAAACCCTATAATTACTGCAGTCACTACTACTACAGGGCTCTACAGTGCAACCATTTTACTCGCATATGCGCCTAAATATTTTGCTGTGCGACCGGAATTTACATTTTGGAGCACCAGTGTGCCTAGAAATATGAAAGATTCTAGCTTTATTACCTCAAATATTTTTCATTGTGCTCTTAAATTTCTTTGTGCGCCTCCATTTTTCAACTTGCACGACCACTACTCTTTCACAACCATATGCTTCAAGACTAGCAAGTACACACATTTACCTCAGGTAATGTCATTTTCTAGTTTGGTGTTAACCTTTGTACGGGTGTGTGAATATGGATGGGGAGAGGGAGAGATGTGGGTGGAGGGGATAGGGTAGATAGAACAGCATGCCCCTGTGTGCTCATGCTCAATAGGAAACAGTGGAACGCAGTCGTCCCGGTAACCATAGAATGCATTGTACATCCAGTCCTTCCTGTTTCTCTCCTCCCCTAGAACATTCTAAAGAACAGTGCTGATTCACTCATCCTGCCAGAGATGAGATGGAAATAGAATTGTAGTTTTATTCAGACAATCCTGCAATTCCAGTTTCAAGGATAAGAACTAGTTTGTTTAGTTAGGAAATAAATGAACAGCATTGTCCAATCGGCTCCAAGATTCCAGCCTTGGTATGGTGTCATGCTGATTCAATACATGTTATTGTGTTTCCAGAGGGCTGACTGCTGAGGACCAGATCGCCCTGCTCAAGTCAAGTGCCATCGAGATCATTATGCTACGCTCCAACCAGTCCTTCAACCTAGAGGACATGTCCTGGAGCTGTGGTGGTGGCCCTGACTTCAAGTACTGCATCAACGACGTCACCAAGGGTGAGACACAGAGACACACGGAGACAGAGAGAGACACACACACACACACACACACACACACATATATATATATACATACACTCTTCACACTACATAAAGTGCCTTCAGAAAGTATTCATACCCCTTGACGTATGCCACATTTTGTTAGCCTGAATTCAAATTTGATTAAATTGATTTTGTTTCTCACCGATGTACACACAATGCCCGATAATGACAAAGTGCAAACATGCTTTTAGACATTTTTGCACATTTATTTGAAATAAAATACAGAAATATCTCATTTACGTAAGTATTCACACCCCTTTGCTATGACACTCCAAATTGAGCTCAGGTGCATCCAATTTCCTTTGATTATCCTTGAGATGTCACTACAACTTGATTAGAGTCCATCTGTGGCCAATTCAATTGTTTGGACATGATTTAGAAAGAAACACAACATTCTATATAAGGCCCCACAGTTGACAGTGCATGTCAGAAGAAACTATACGATGAAGTTCAAGGAACTGTCTGTAGATCTCCGAGATATATAATTGTGATGAGGCATATATTTGGGGAAGGGTATAAAACTATTTCTAGAGTGTTGAAAGGTTCCAAGAGCACAGTGGTCTCCATCATTGGGGATACTTTTCAGCTGCAGGGACTGGGAGACTGGTAAGGATGAAGGGAACAATGAATGGAGCCAAATACAGGCAAATCCTTGATGAGAACCTGCTTCAGAGTGCAAACGACCTCAGACTGGGGCGAAAAATTACAGGACAATGACCCCAAGCATACAGCCAAAGCAACACTAAAATGGCTTCAAAACAAGAATATGAAAGTCCTTGAGTGGCCCAGCCAAAGCCGAGACTTGAATCCCATTTGAAAATCTATGGAAAGACTTGAAGATTGCTGTTCACCGTCGCTCCCCATTTAACTTAACAGAGCTTGAGAAAATCAGCAAGGAAGAATGGGAGAAAATCCCCAAATCCAGATGTACAAAGCTGATGCAGACATACCCCAGACGACTCAAAGCTGTAATTGCCGCCCAAGATTGCTCCTACAAAGTATTGACTCAGGGGGCATGAATACTTATCTAAATTAGATTTCTGCATTTGATTTTCTAAAAAATGTTTTCACTTTGTTAGATATATTTAATCCATTTTTAATTCAGGCTGTAACACAAAATGTGGAATAAGTCAAGGGGTATGAATACTTTCTGAAGGCACTGTAGTTCACTCACTATGTCAAACGGCCCCCTGTCTGCCCCTCCTTGTAGCGGGTCACACTCTGGACCTGTTGGAGCCACTGGTGAAGTTCCAGGTGGGCCTGAAGAAACTCAACCTCCATGAGGAGGAACACGTGCTGCTCATGGCCATCTGCCTGCTGTCTCCAGGTATCTACCTGATCGCTGCCATGTGTGCTTGTTCGTGTATGCTTTACAAATGTTTGTACATGTATGCCTTGTGTTTGTGCACACAAGTTCAGCATGTGCTTGGTTATACACGGAGTGTACAAAACATTAGGAACACCTGCTGACCAGGTGAATCCAGGTGAAAGCTATGATCCTTTATTGATGTCACTTGTTAAATCCACTTCAATCAGTGTAGATGAAGGGGAGGAGACAGGTTAAAGAATGATTTTTAAGACTTAAGACAAATGAGACATGGATTGTGTATGTGTGCCATTCAGAGGGTGAATGGGCAAAACAAAAGATTTAAGTGACTTTGAAAGGGGTATGGTAGTAGGTGCCAGGCGCACCAGTTTAAATGTGTCAAAAACTGCAATGCTGCTGGGTTTTTCACACTCCACAGTGTCCCGTGTGTATCAAGAATGGTCCACCACCCAAAGGACATCCAGCCAACTTGACACAACTGTTGGTAGCATTGGAGTCAACCAACATGGGCCAGCATCCCTGTTGAACTCTTTCGACACCTTGTAGAGTCCATGCCCCGATTAATTGAGGCTGTTCTGAGGGCAAAAGGGGGTGCAACTCAATTTTAGAATAGTGTTCCTAATGTTTTGTACACTCGGTGTATGTTTGTATGGTGTTTTTGTGTGCATTCCCATCTCTTCATCACTACTTTTAATGGCCTCTCCCTCCTCCCCTCGATGTAGATCGTCCAGGGGTGCAGGACCACGCTAAGATCGAGGTTCTCCAGGACAGTCTGTCGGAGGTGCTCCAGGCCTACATCAGGGTGAACCACCCAGGAGGACGACTGCTCTACGCCAGGATGATCCAGAAGCTGGCCGATTTGCGCAGCCTCAACGAGGAACACTCCAAACAGTACCGCTCGCTGTCCTTCCAGCCCGAGCACAGCATGCAGCTCACCCCGCTGGTGCTGGAGGTGTTTGGGAGCGAGGTGTCCTAGCAGCCACACCGACCCCCACCACCACCCCTCTGGTTAGAAGAGATGGACAGACGATCCCCCCCATGAGGACCCCCGGGAGTTCATTTGTTGAGTTGCTGGATAGATGGCTCAGCGATGGGGGTGATGGAAGGGTCTCTGAGGGGGAATAGCGGAATGAACCGGAAAGTCACACTGTCACAGAAAAGGTTTTGGAGGGTTAATCAGGGTATTATGGGTAAAGAGAGAAGGGAGGGGCTTCGATAAGGTTGGAATTTCCCGTTTAAAAGAAAAAGGGAATTTCGAACAGAATGTATTTATAACTAAACTATAAATATATATACATACATATAAGCTAATATCTATATTTAAGGTTGTTTCTACTAAAACAAATGGATAAGTAATCCTCTGTATACTATAGGATTTGTAGGCCCTATTTGTGTGGATATGAATGTGTGTGCATGTGTTGACATAGTGTTTCAAAATGCACGCACACACACACAAATACACCCTGAGTAGAGTGCAAGGGGCCTTCTATTTTTTATGTTTCTATATGAGAATACTGAATGACCACAAAAGGGTGTTGAGTACAGGCTCTGACTGAGTGTTTAGTAGTGGGATCTGTGTTTAAGGCACCATTAATGTATCGGTTAAAGTGTAGGCTACACACAGGATATATGTGGGTAATCTGGTAACTATTTGGTTCTGTTGCCCCCTTTCAGACTTCAAAATATACACAATTAACACTTTAAAAGTTATTTCCTTCATAAGAGGAAAGAGCAACATGTTTCTATTTTATTATTCTGGATTATTGGTTAGCTAGCTAAAATAAGATGGCTAAACTAACCTAGTAAGGTTAACTGCCGCGCCTCAGGGAGAAGTTAGCCTGATATTGTTCATTGTACAATATACATTTTGAGTAATAGTACACAAACTTACAATCAAAAGGGAGAGTGTTAGAAAAACGGTTGTCATCGCCGGTCAAACCTGTCTGTCATGATGTAATAATTACTGTAGTAATTACTAAAACATTTTAATCAAATCTGCAGATGCTCTTAAGGTTAGATCAAATTCTATTCACGGTAAAATACAATTACAATGTCACCCCCACCAGTTTCTGTTTGAGAGCTGTATTATGGCCTTAGTAGGTCGAAGGTTCAGCACATCACAAGTGTGTGTTTCCTCGCTCAGTCTGCAGGTCTGGGTCGCGCTCTTGTGGTCATTGTCTGTAAATACCACTTGTTGTTTCTGTACATTTAAGGAAAAAATAGGCAAATACTAAGATCATTCAATTGTTGGGAATAATGCTCTGGAGATATATGCAAATATGATATGTGCTATTTTCTTATGTTGTACCTCTCTTTGAGGTCTAGATAAGCTTTGACCGCTATATATACGTTTTTTGGGGGGGAGCAAACTCATTGGTTTTATTCAATTCGAGATTGTGTTTCCTGACATCAGCATTCGTTCCGCTGCACCAAAACCTTCTCACATACCGAGGAGACATTCTGACTCAACCTGCTGCTCTGTAAAGCTTCTCTGTAAAGCTACAATACCGTTAGAACCAGGAAAAAGACAACATAATCTTGTTCATGCTCTTTACTACTAACACTGCCTCAACTCAAACAGACAAGAATAAAGGCCAATCAATCAGTCACCGTAGCGACGGGCATGCCTCTCTCTTCAACACGCCAGCCAACGCCTCTTCTGCAATAGAACAGCAGCCAGCCTGGCAGGACTCTTCATAGCTTTAACGCGACAGCATCCATTCAGGCCCAACTCAACAGCTGTAGTGCACCAAGGGCTGATGGGACTGATTTTGTGAGCAACGGCTTTGGATATGTCACTCCGATGGAAGGTGTGACGTCTCTTACCTGGGAAGTGATTAACACTGAACTGATCCCGTGATGAGAGTTTGGGGAGGTGGGCTCTGGAGTGAATAAAGGAGTGACTGTATAGAAGTGTTTAAGAATCACAGAATAGCGGTGTACAGAGCTCAAGGCCCAAAGTCTGATATTTTCTCCCATTGCAGCAGATGTCCAGACCCCACTGCGTCTACAAGCATCTTTTTTTTGTATTCTATCATATATACATAAACCCATGTAAAGGAATGCAGGAAAGATAGGGTCAGGGGTTCTAATGGGAGGAACTCCTCCAAGAGCTCTGCCTGCTGCCAAACTGGCTCAGAAAGACTGCCCCAAGAACTGCGCCCCTCTCTACCGCAGGTCAGCAACTCCACCTCAGTAGCCTTACAAAACTCTGTTCAACATTTAACAGATACCTCAATGAAACTGAAAACGTTCATAATAGCATAGAAGGGAACCAAACATGTAACACAGTGGCACACACATTCATACATTCACACACACCATGACATTTCGTCAGCAACCTCTGGAGTGTTCTGTTTTTTATCAAGCAAAAAGTTGCCAGTTTCTTTTGAAGATAAACTGCCTAGAGGGCTGTGTTGCAGGCCCAGTATAGGGATCCCATTGTTTTTACACAGGGTGTCTGTCGGTTTTTCTTATCACAGCACGATAATCATGTGTAAAAGAGGCAGGCTACAACGGTCAATGGTTCCCGCTGCCACTGTGTCAAAAGTCCAGTCCTAATCAGTATTTGTATTTTTGAGGAATAAGCGATGCCGAGGAATGACTCTGTAATAATATGTAAATCATGCAGTCACCATGGCTGAGTTTAGGCAGCGTCTCTGTGATCAGTATCTTTTCAGGTTTACTGACTACGAAATCACCTGGATTGGCTAAAATAATACATAAAGGTAATATATTTCTTCGTTCAAATGTAATGTTAAGATCAGTGAATGATTGCAGACAGGTTCCTGATAAGGCACTGATCAAAGCGGCCCTGCCTACGTTTTGGCCTGTATGGTTGCTGCTGGTTTTTGGTGGCTCTGTTGTATTGCTCTGGTGATGTGTGAAGCAAGCTGAATCCTGAATCCCTGTTAGAGTTTATTGTACGGAGTCGTGCCGCCAGGCACTGTTTTAATCAAAACAAACTACCTCTCCCACCCGCACATGTATTTTTGGCATGGTTGTGTTTAATCTGTTCTTATTTTAATACTAATTCATTGTATTTATTCATTTTACTTCTCAAATGCTGGATGATTTACCTCAACACACCTCAAAATAAGCCTACAGATCAAGAGGAGACTGTCGTCACTCCACGTCTCTGTCTGTTGGGGGGGCTGAAACGGCTCATCTTTGTATTAAGTGTTGCCTTCAACGCATTTATGCTAACTGGGATTGGACAGCTTGTAAACTGGGATATTATGACATAATCTCCTCAAGCTAGAGGCCTCAGTTAGCGTCAGTTAGCGATCTGCATAGTATGTGTATGATGTAGTAGTGTCAAGATTGAAGGATTTCTTTATGAAACGCTTCTGTTGAGATCCTGTTTTGATGTTTTAGCTGTCTGTGTCTGCTTTGCAGCCAGCTGCCCAGTCGCCTGCTCAGTCTGCCCTCAGCTCAGTGGTCTACTGCCCCTCTTACTCTTAGCTCATCGCTCTGGAACCCAGGTCTTTATTGTATCACATTGACGTACAGGACACAGCACCATTGTAGCACAGTGCATTACCAACAAAGCGTACTGTTTAAAAAGGTTTCTATAAAGGATTCAATGAAAATGTGTATATAATCAGTTCTCTGTAGTGATGACTGATGAAGCTGGGCAGTTTATATCTACCTACGTCTTTGATTTGTTTTTGAGAAGCATTTAAGTTTTTCTTTGGATAGAGAGAGATGAGGAAAGATTGAGTAGTCGCATGAATGTTGCTCACTGTTTTGGAATCTTTTTATTTTTGCTCTGATTGTTCTCTGCTACCTCTTTTTAATATGCTCTTGCTCACATACAGTACTACAAACGCATACAGTACTACAAACGCATACAGTACTACAAACGCATACAGTACTACAGTATGTGCACAGACTCAGTATGCACTTCTATTTCACCAACAGTTTTTGCCAATGATGCACTTGTTTGTCTCCGTGCTCTGGCTTTTGTCTGAAATCTATTACTGATGATCACTATAGCAAATCACCAATGGTTTCAGTCTTTTAACATTAAATGCCCATTATAGCTCAGTTACCTTGGTGTGCCTACAACCCGGAGCCTGAACCTGGGACAATATCAGGGGTTTAACGAAACACATTTTAAAAATTCTTATTTAAGACCATGTTCAAATGGCTTTTCACATTTATTTTATTGTCAAATCAATCTTTATGGGTTAGGAGAACATAACCATCAGCTCACCTCTACTGGGAAGCACATGTCAAATGGTGATCCACCGGACGCAAATATGCTTCACATTCTTTAAGCTGAGGTGATGCTTTAGTTTCAGGGGTGAGAGATGGACATAAGGCCAACATAACACATGTATATATACACTGTCACACCTGACAGGTTTTATTCCATTCATATAGACGGTGCATTGCTCTGCAGAGAGGATTTGGTTCAGTATATTTGTGTGAAATATAACAAATGGCCATTCTTCCTCTTATTTATTATATTCAGTGCCATGCTATGCTGTGGTTGTTATTAAGGCCTATGTATACTCCTGGCTAACGGTTAAGAGCGTTGGGCCAGTAACTGAAAGGTCGCTGGTTCGAAACCCCGAGCTGACTAGGTGAAAAATCTGTCTGTGCCCTTGAGCAAGGCACTTAACCCTAATTGCTCCTGTAAATCGCTCTAGATAAGAGCGTCTGCTAAATGACTAAAATGTAAATGTCGGGAGTGTTACTGGAATGGAAGGAGGTGTGAACTGTTCTGAATCTGGACTGCTTTATTCCTGTTGGAGGCCAGTACGTAGTTGTTAGCAAGCACTGTTGGTTTTTGAGTTCTCTGTATGTTTGTTTCTAATCCCAACTGCTATCCTTGATACATTCTCAAAGGTCAATATTATTGTATTTAGTTGAAGATGAAACATCAATTGATCTTGTGAACGGTTGGTCCAAAAACAACATACACTGGTGTACTCTTGGACTAGTTGGACGTGGAGTTTTTTTGAC